ACAACCGGCCCTCTCTCGCAGTTAGATGCCACACATCGTTGAATTGTAATATGCAACTTTGTTGTTGCCAGAATTTTTGTATCAAACAAGAAATATAAAACCAACAGGTCTGATGGGTAATCAGGTTCAGACCCCCAGACCCTCCCCCTCTATATTCATCACTGATCACCACCGACCCTCCCCCTCTATATTCACCACTGATCACCACCGATGGTTGCTGAGAGAGAGCCAAAATATCCACTGATATGGTTCAAATTAATTCATCTTCTGAGAAGAACTTCTACTTTCCTTATTTTTTTCACAAGGCTCTTGTGTTTGTACTTTTCCCTCAATATGTTTGTTGGATATATGATTGGTTAGAGCCAACTCAGCACTACTCTCCATGTTAACTATTTTACCATCTCATATCCACCATATAAAATATTGTACAGAGAAGATACATTTAAACACCTCTGGAAGTTTAAAGGGTTGAGACAAATTAAAGTAAAATTCAATCAAAGGAAAGTGCATTTTTTTTAAAGAACAAATTAGTACTTTTTTTGGAAATTCAAAACATTACTTACCTCGTTCCTTGAGTTTTTCAGAGATACTCTTTTCCTCCTCCCTTTCTGTTATTTTTCCAAAAAAAAAAATGTTAATCAGTCAACAAAATAAGTTATTTCATCTTTCAAAATGATTACTCAGAAACAGTTATCTGATAGAGCTTCATACACACCTTTCAACAATAACTTCTGTTTTGATAACCACTCTTCTCTTAAAAGTTTGATCTTCAACTTCAGCATTTCCTGTTCTGACAGCTGCAACAAAAGAAAAAGGTGATTTAATTGCAATTGAGTTAAAATTGACAATTTGGTTTCAAAGGATCTCTTTGCTGGAAAGTATGCCCAGTCCACTACTTTCATAAAGTATAACATTCCATTAAATTGAAAAATTAATCTTCAGTACAGCATCTTTTTCCAGATGAGAAATTATCAAGAAATTTGTGACCAAACATTTAGACAAACCTGTGAAGTAGACTTGATGTCAGATTCAACTTTGTATTGGATGGCCTGACGCACATCTCTGACCGACAGCTGAGATTGCAGGATTGCCTTCTGTATTGCCTGCAGTCTGAAGACAAGAATCAAGATCGGCTTCAAATTAATCCACATACATAATGATGATATCAAACAAATCATGCTATACAAAATATACATTAATGCAAGTGCTTCAGATGGGAAAGAGAGAGATTTCAGTTGGATTACAGGGACATACCTTTGGACAGACAACAGTTTGCAAGATATCTGAACCTATGAAGAGAAAAGTCCAGTGAACAGATGTGAATACATGGTAAGATCACAAAGTTATAACATAGCATGCTTAATATAAATACTGATAGCGGGGCTTCCACGTGCACTTCGCGTGCATGGGGCAGAGCCCCATAACCATGGAATATGGTCAACCATTTTTCATTTGGTTGTCACGCGACTGACCGAGCATAAATACATACATACGTACGTGCCTTCAGATTGCACGGGTAGGGGTAGGGGAGACTACCAAGCAAAGGGAGGGGTGTCTCAGGTGAGTCTTGGCAAATGCACATCTTTTATGTTATAATTAATATTACGAACTTGGGAGCTCCGCTTTTAGGCTTGGCTAAATCTATAATTTATATTAATTATTAAGGTGAAGAGGGTTACCTCCCAGGTCATTTGATAAAGTCTTCTTAAACTTACTTCAGGTATTGCTCACATACCTGATCCACATCAACTTTGATAACATCTTTTCCTTGCACAACTCCAGTTTCACCACTGCCTGGGGTCTTAAAAGATCACATAAACTTGTATGTATAGTCTAACAGAATTATTGAAAACTTTGCAATTTATCAGAATTCTATTCTGGCTTACCTCATCTTTGGGCAAGCAGCTAGGTGCACTGTAATACCCATCAATAAGACCAAAGATAACCGTGTTCTGTCCATACTTGCTGGACCTCACCTGAAAAGTTCATCAAAATATAGCATTATCAGGAATTAAATCATAAGTAAAGCTGAGCTTCAGAGGGCAAGGGGCCTATACCTGTCCTTGACAATCCCTGTTTGTTTTTTTCTTACATGACTGTATTTTCTTTCAACATGAAGAGTCTAAGAGGGAACATCTATTTCTCCTTTCTTAAGGGAATGCCAGCCTGTTGCTGGACACCCCAAGTTTCCTGATGAATAGTTGGGAGTCGCACATATACTCCTGGCCGACTTGGAAAAAATCATGAGCAATTATTATGATATAGAAGAAAACAAAACCCAAACAAAGTCAACAAAAAGTTTGCCCCCAATCCATACACACTGTTATCAAAAAGAATACCTGATCTCCAAGGTATTGTAGAGATGGCAAATCAACCTTCCACTCAATAATGAGTCGAAACTTGTTTTTTTGACCTCCCCATACTCTTACGATGACAGCTGACATTTGATCAAGGAAAAAATCACCACACCCCACGTATAGCTACATGAAAAATTAAACAAGCTATTTGCTGATCACCAGAGAGTGACCGTTTGCAGAAGAAAGGATACAAGACACAGTGGTTGACTTTTGATTCTTCCATGAGGATGGCTCAAAACTAGCCCATGTTGGATTCTAACATGTGTGTAGAATGTTAAGAGTAGAAATTAAAAATAAAAATCAAACTACTGTAGCAGTCAGATGCCCGATAGACTGATCTTACCGTTGTACAAAATTTTTTAGACCGATGTCATAAACGCAATTTTATTTCATTTCCAGTTTTTATCAAGAACCTTTTAAACAAACAAGACCGAAACATTTTGAAGAAACTAAAATCAATGGATTGCCACCCCCTGAAGGACATCATACCTGTCCAAAAGACATAATTATGTACACAATCTTAGGAAAAAAGGCTGCGCGCGCCCGAAAATTAATACACAGCGCTTTATGAACACCTTTGTAAATAGGTTGATATTTAATCTCCATTTATTGTAATGACATACTTTTTAATTCATAATATGTATGTAGATTACTGTAGTTTTTCCAAATTCATTGTAACATAAGATATGTAGTTTTATCTTATGATGGAATAAAGACTTTTTATTATGTAGCTTAAAAATACAAAACACAGACCAAGAGATTGTATCTTTCAAAACAAACCACAGATGTGAAGGAAACTGTTGGAGGGAAGGAAATAATAACAGTCACATCCATGTTACTTACCAGGGAATACTTGATTTTCTCACTGGTATATATGGCTACACAAGAAACATATAAAAAAAACACATTACATGTTTTTGAAATAAATTTGACCTTTGTCAATTTAACAAGCAAAGGGAAAATAGTTTCATTTCAAGACAAGTTCTAGTCATTAAGGTAATATCCATAATGGGATGAAGGTGCCCAAGAAAAGGGAAAGAAAGGGCAGGAAAGGGAAATTGTTTTATCCACAGCAGGAGGAAGGTGAGAAATGCAAAATGCTAACATTCAATGTAGTTCACAATCTGCTGCATTCTGTAATAAACAACTGCAGATGGGAGTTACCTGTATGGGTACCCAAGGTGAAGGCTATGGCAACTTGGAGATTCTTGCCCGTTGATAAATAAAAAATTTGAAACACCAGAAGCAATAAGAATTGAACAACTGATTAAAAGACAAACAGAAATGAATCTGACAGACCTTTCTGATTTCCTTCCACACTATGCAAAGTAAAGTATGTTTCCAGCAGGCAGTCAAGCAAGTTATCTCCAAAAATGGAAAATTTTGGGATAATTTTTCGAACAGAAATGCTTCTTAGGTGTCGTAGTCGCAGCTGTAAAAGAGGAAGACAGGTATATCAGGCAGTGCACAGCGTACCAAGTATGGAACAAAAAGTAACAAGTATTTTTTTAGATTTGTGATATTGCACGCGTTTCGAAGATCTTCGAATAAAATATTTAGATACCGGTATTGAGACATTTGATTGATTTAATCGAGGGGGGGGGGGGCTAGACAGATATCTGCGTTCGAAAATTCAAATTGACCAGATTAATTAACCCATAAGACTTCTAATAATTTAAAATGTTTATTCATGAACGGGCAAAGGTGACCATGCAAAGAACATAGGAAAGAAGGCTTCGAAGATGAAAATAATACATGGAGTTGCAATTCGATCAAGATAAATAAATCATGTATAACTTGGAAAACGCATGGCTTAGGTTGCTCTACATAAAGCAGGTTTGATCATCGCAGGAGACTTTCTAGTCAACTGATGAAGAAAAAATTATGCACTTGTAGAGAAAAATCTGCACAAACCTGTTTTGAACTGAGATCAAAATGTCTCACCCTTCCAAGACTTTCTTTGCTGGCCATTCCAGTCGTGCAAACTCATCAAAACTTCATTGTGAAACAAGATCAGTTGGTCATCAATCGAATCACCTGACCGGCCATGTCGCCATGTTGAAGACGGAACTAATAGCGCTACACATCGCGCGACGCATCTTTTGTTTATGAGAACGAGCCAGCGATCATTTGCGTTGGCGCAAACATGGCGTCCACGGAAGTCTCTGCTGACAGTGGCACAAAAATCAACCTGTCTATGTTGGTTGATTTCCTTCTGCAGAAGACTTATCATGATCTAACAGTGCTGTCAGAACTGTGAGTATTCAGGACAATGTATTTACCCATTCTGGGGTAGTTAGCGTGATTGAAAAATAGTGCACCCAGGAAGGAATTCTATATTCCGACCGGATATTCGTGGTACAAATTTTTTAAGTCTTCTTGTCCGCGTTAATTTGTCGGGAATTGTAAGCCTCAAATTTTTAACTTTCAAGTATGTATGGAAGGTTTGAGTACCTTGTTCCTGGTGAATCTTTGATCCGTAGAATAAAAACTGTCTTCTTACCATGAGTAGGAAGCTCAGGATAATTATATTTGTCAAACATGTCTTCGAAACGCTTATGCAAGCATTTCGAAGTCTGTTTATCAGTATTTTTTCGTATCTTTCTCGTACCTTTCTACAGAGTCTACTTTTAAAAGTTGTCTTCACTTTAAAACCCTATTTGGAAGTAGAAGTCCCTTTGATAATAATAAAATTATTAGGTATAATTGTAGTAAAAATCTCGCCATGAAGGCACCAGGGAGATTCCCGCTAACTTCACGGGCCCAGTGCCAAATTTTAAAAGCAAAATGTAGTAAATAGTCTCAAAATCTGTAATAGTGGGGGATGTTTTCCTCACTGCTTCATGCTCAGTAAATACAGCTGTATCCACCACTGTACACCTTCACTTTGGTGAATAATTGTTGATAATAATCTTGGAAATATAATAATGATATCATAAGGGAGGAAATACACCTTTGATGTTATTTCATCATTATCATTAACCACAGTACCTCAATGTTTGTTTTTTTCAGTTTACCAAGGAAATCAGATATAGAGAGGTTTGATGTAAATTAATGTACTTGTAAACAGTGTGCATGTTGTAGTTAAACAAGATTTCTGGTCAAAACAATTTCAACCTAGGTTTCTCTGTATTGTCTGTATTTTGATGGTAATGAACCTTGAAACAATTCCTACTTTTAGTTAAAAAATCATTTTAATCTGAAAGTCAATTTGAACACCCACATTAAGACTTACTTTTTATGTGAAAGTGATACATTGTCATCCTTGGTTGTATGTGTACGGGCTTTTTTTCTCACTCTCTGTTGGGGTTAATGAAGGATGATGAGCTGCTAAAACAAATAAATAGATACTTAGTCTAAAACCATGATTTACACATTAAATAATTGTTAAAACCTTCTGCAATTATCCACTCTTTGCAGAAAAATTGAAATTGTGCAGTTTGCTAGTAAAACACGCCAGCAGTTTGTGCGGTTACTTGCTTTGGTAAAGTGGGCAGCAAGTGCTGACAGGGTTGACAAATGTCAGGTCAGTTGATGTAGTGGTGTCTTGTAAGGCTACTTTTGACTCTAAACGATTATGTTTATTAAGTTAAACATAATCCACTTTTTTTCACTTTGAGGCCTGACCAAAAGGAATTTCCCCTTACAACATAATTTTCCTTTTTATAACCACCTCCCAGTTAGCTCAATGGATAGAGCGCTGGACTGTTGTGTGGGAGGTGGAGGGTTTGAGCCCCAGCCGGACCAACACTCAAGGTCTTAAAATAATTGAGAAGAATTTGCTACCTTTCTATAACATCAAGAAATGATTAGATATTCTAGTCTTCTTGGATAGGGACAAATAAATGGAGGTCCCGTTTCTTGCAGGGTTGGGGTAGGAGATGTTAATTTCCCACACACGAGATTACTGTGTGATGGATATCCTCCCCTGGGGTGGGATGGGTGGGAA